TCCAGCCTCCCCAGTCCTTCCTTCTCCAGCCGCTCGGGACTGGGCACCGGCAACCTGTCCAGCCTCCCTAGTCCTTACCTTCTCCAGCCTCTCTGGACTTGGCATTGGCAATATCTGCCGCTTGGCCTCCTGCTCTAGGGTTAGAAGCATGTTCCTCTCCTTGAGTAAGACATACCTATACAAAAGAACATAGACCTTGTGAAGGTATTCTGTGATTATGTTAACAAAGTTGTGATTTCTGACATCAAAAATAATTATCTGTACTTGAAAAGTACTTAGGGGCGACGTGCTGTGGCTCATGCCTGTAATCCCAGAACTTTGGGGGCTGAGGTGGGAGGATTGCTTGACCTCAGGAGTTCAAGGCCAGCCTGGGCAACACAGCAAGACTCCATCTCTACAAAAAATTAAAAATGTAATTAGCCGGGCATGGTGGCACACACTTGTAGCCCCAGCTATTTGGGAGACTGAGGCAGAAGGACTGCTTGAGTCTGGTAGTTCAAGGCTATAGTGGGATATGATCACACGACTACACTCCAGCCTGGGGATAAAATGAGATCTTGTCTCAAAACAAAAAGTCATATTAGAAATCTCAGTATACAGAATATGATTACAAAGAATAATCCTTTATACATAACCATCTTTGCTTATCCATTTGTTTAATAAACTTTCCATGTGCCACATGTATTAGGTGCTAAGGGAATTATAAAGGGGCATAAAACACAAAATCCTAGCCCTTACATTCCAAGTGAACAGTAGAGAAGGAGATGGAAGACAAATAACATCTACTATTTATTATACACCACACAATGTGTTAAGCATTTTACATACACTTATTTCATTTAGTTCTCACAACCACCTTCTGAGGTTGGTACTATTTCCACTTACTAAATGAAGAAGCTAAGGCTGAGAGAAGTAAGGTATTCTGGGTCACACAAGTAATTCAAGATTCAAATCCCTGACTCTCTGTGTACAAAATCCATTCTATTTTAATTCCACCGTACTGCTTCTGAAACTGTAATGTGGTGAAGCATAGTTAGTGGGACAGATGATAAGCACCAGAAGAATTAAGTGGGGGAGATGAGAAACATCTCTTCCAGCTAAGATGATCAGGGAGAGATTCACAGAGGAGATGGAATATATGATGGGAGGAGAGCAGAGCAAACACAGTCAAAGGCACTGAAGCAGCACAGCTAAAGTGAAGACAGATTTTCTGAATACATCTGTTTGAGAATAAGAGTTGGAGCCGGGTACAGAGGCTCACTCCTGTAATCCCAGCACTTTCCGAGGCTGAGGCAGGTGGATCACTTGAGGTCAGGAGTTCGAGACCACCCTGGTCAAAATGGTGAATCCCCGTCTCTACTAAAATACAAAAATTCAGCCAGGCATGGTGGTGTGAGCCTGTAATCCCAGCTACTTGAGAGGCTGAGACATGATAATTGCTTGAACCTGGGAGGTGGAGGTTGTAGTGAGCCAAGATCATGCCACTGGCATTCCAGCCTGGGCAACAGAGTGAGACTGTGTCTCCAAATAATAAGTAAATGTCTACTAGAGTGTCTAGGCAGGTAACAATGATGAAGGAAGCAGACATGGTGAAAGAACCACAGGGCAGTTGAGAAGTGGTGTGTCCCTGCTCCATCCAGAAATGGCAGCTGTTCCACAGACCAGCCAAGTTGTTGCCATGTAGCAATGCAGGGCCAGTGTTGCCAAATCACAGGTCACATTATTCAAGAGCAGACAGAAATATTATTTTTTGTGTGAAACTTCCCAACTTAAAAAGCAATTATGGTCCAAACAAAACGTATCTTTGGGCGAAATATAGTACATTAAAATTCAACCCTGTCTTAAATCCTCTCAACCCTCTCTAATTCATCAGAGCCTGCCAGAAAAATCTACCTAAATTCTCAATTAAATGCACCCTCCAACACACTCTTCCAAAGTAAATAAGCTAAAGATTACAGACCCTGAAAATATAATAAAAAGGAAAGAATTCTAAATATAAGCAATGGCTGGGCGACGTGGCGTAAGCCTGTAATCCCAGCATGCTGGGAGGCTGAGGTGGGAGGATCACTTGAGCCCACGAGGTCAAGGCTGCAGTAAGCCATGACTGCGCCACTGCACTCCAGCCTGAGCAACAGAGCAGGACCTTGTCTCAAAGAAAAAAAACAGCAACCAACTGTTCCCTGTTTCATTTTATTAACTGACTGAAATTGCTAGTATAAAGGTTAGTAGGACTAATGTAAGATACAGTAAAATTTCCAAATCCCCAACTACTTGAGAATTGTGACATTTGTCATTAACCTGTCACATAAAAATTTTTCATGATCTTAAGCATCAGATTTATCATCCATAGTACTATTAACACAAATCGCTTTACTCAATTTCTTACATCAAATAGATTTAGTTTTTACCTCATTGGTACACTATAACTGCTTCAAACATCTAGATGTTAACGTATTTAGTATACTTACCAAAGTTTATGTAAATCTTCATTACTTTTGTTCCTTAGTTGCTGACGGGTCCATGCTGCTCCTATTAAAATGACAATATATAACATGAAATAATATTTCTAGCCCTGTGCCCTTTGGCAAATTATTGAAGCTCTCTAAACCTGTCTAAGCCTGTTTCCTTATCTGTAAAATATATAATTGCTTTCATATAGTATATAACATAATGTGTAATTAGGGATAAATTAGGTAACATACAAAAATACTATTAATATGACTGGCAATAGCATTAAAAAAATGTTAGCATTAGTACAGAATGTATTTTCACACCTTAATGACAAAATATGTTATGTCATTATAAATTAACTTTTTGGCCAGGCCACGGTGGGCAGATCCCATGAGGTCGGGAGTTCGAGACCAGCCCGATCAACATAGAGAAACCCCGTCTCTGCTAAAAATATAAAATTAGCTGGGCATGGTGGTGCATGCCTGTAATCCTAGCTACTCAGGAGGCTGAGGCAGGAGAATCGCTTGAACCCGGAAGGCAGAGGTTGCAGTGAGCCGAGATCATGTCATTGTACTCTGGGCCTGGGCAACAAGAGCAAAACTCTGTCTCTAAATAAATAAATTTTTAATTATCACTAAAAAATGAAATCTAAAATAAGCCCTAAGCCTTACTTTAGTTAATAATTTCAACCTGTTCCTTTTCTAACCATCTTGCCAATCTGCCAACGAACAATTAACTCAACTATTATATTGTCCTTTTAAATTTCTCTAGGGAGCAGTCCCAAAGGAAAATGTAAAAGGAATCATCTAAATAATTCCTGAACTGGATAAATAATCCTAGAATGATTGGGGGGAGTTCAATAAATATATTGAATGCTGACCAATCCAAATATCTCACCAGATTTTACTTTTTCTTGCCCCCAGTTTTTTGGGTCGTCAAAAAATTCTTCTAGTCCTTTCCTTGACAATGTGGTATGAAGGAATCTACACTGGTGAAAGGATGTCACATTTGGTGTACTTTTAGGCAACAAACTAAGAAAAAACCTGCAATTGAAAACATATAAACAAGTAATTAAAGTTTCGTAATATCTTGATTTTATAAGCAATATACATTATCATAATAAACATAACCATTTGTCATCTATAATGTTTTAAAAAGCTATTTGAGGTTTCTGCATAAGAATTAAATTGTTTTTCTTTTTTTCTTATTTAGAGACTGGGTCTCACTATGTTGCCCAGGCTGCTCTCAAACTCCTGGGCTCAAGTGATCCTCCCACCTTGGCCTTCCAAAGTGCTGGGATTACAGGTGTGAGCCACCATGCTTGGCCACAATAAATTTTGAAAATGCTTTAGAAAGTATTTTTAATATTGCATTATAGAAGCTGCTACCTTGTAATTTCAGGTATATTGTATAAAATATATTTATACAATTATATTTTAAGGTAACATTTTTGGGTCCTTCTTACATTGCTAATGGGTGCAAAAGCAGATAAAAAGAGCAGTCAATTTTGCAACATGTGGGCTGGGCATGGTGGCTCATACCTGCAATCCCAGAAATTTGGGAGGCTGAGGTGGGACAACCCCTTTGAGCCCAGGAATTCAAGACCAGCTTGGGCAAGATGGCAAAACCTCGTCTTTAACAAAAATACAAAAATTAGCCAGGCGTGGTGGTATGCACCATATAGTCCCGACTACTCGGGAGGCTGAGGTGGGAGGATGGTTTGAGCCTGGGAGGCAGAGGTTTCAGGGAGCTGAGATCACGCCATTGCACTAGTCTAGCCTGGGCAACAGTCAGTCCCTGTCTCAAAAAAACAAAAATTAAAAACCCCCACAATTTTGCAACATGTATCAAACACTTCCTCCTTTAACTCAGTAATTCTACAACTAGAAATTTCAACTGAAGAAATTATCACAGATGGGAATTTATAAGTTAAGATGTGTATTAAAGCACTATATAGAATATCAGGTTTTTAATTATGTAAATGTGCAGCTGAGAATGGTTTAAAAAATTATTATGCATCTGTATGATAAATTTTTGTGCAGTAGTTCAAAAATCCTGTTTTTAAAAAGTAGATAATGACCTGAGGAGATGATTTAAAACTAAGTAATGAAGTATATCACAAGTATTGTATCCCACCAAAAATATTCAGCCTAAATCTAATCATGAAAACAATCAGACAAATCCAAATAAAGAAGAGAGATTTGTTTTTTTTTTTTTTTTTTTTTTTTGGGGGGGGGTGGGTTTTTTTTTTTTTTTTTTTTTTTTTTTTTTGGAGACGGAGTTTCGCTCTTGTTACCCAGGCTGGAGTGCAATGGCGCGATCTCGGTACACCGCAACCTCCGCCTCCTGGGTTCAGGCAATTCTCCTGCCTCAGCCTCCTGAGTAGCTGGGATTACAGGCACGCACCACCACGCCCAGCTAATTTTTTGTATTTAGTAGAGACGGGGTTTCACCATATTGACCAGGATGGTCTCGATCTCTTGACCTCGTGATCCACCCGCCTCGGCCTCCCAAAGTGCTGGGATTACAGGCTTGAGCCACCGCGCCCGGCAAGAAGAGAGATTCTTAAAAAGCTAATCTCATCAAAATGTAAACATCGAGAGAGACAGAGAAAAAAAGAATCTGTTCTGGATTAAAGGAGACTAAAGAGTCATGGCAACCAAGCAATAAATAATGATCCCTCACTGGATCCTGAACCAAAAGAAAAGAGGCTGAGTACGTGGCTCACGCCTGTAATCCCAGCACTTTGAGAAGCCAAGGCAGGTGGATCACGAGGTCAGGAGATCGAGACCATCCTGGCCAACATGGTGAAACCCCGTCTCTACTAAAAAATACAAAAATTAGCCAGGCGTGGTGGTGTGCGCCTGTAGTCCCAGCTATTCAGGAGGCTGAGGCAGAATCGCTTGAACCCGGGAGGCAGAGATTGCAGTGAGCGGAGATCACGCCACTGCACTCCAGCCTGGGACAGAGAAAAGCATCAACTCAAAAAAAAAAAAAAAAAAAAAGAAAGAAAAGAAATTACTAAGTTACCAGGACAACTGAGGACTTTGGACTATTTGCTAGATAACAGCAGTGTAATAATAGAAGCGTATCAATATTAAATTTCATTGGTGTTGATCATTGTACTGTGGTTAAGTCAATGTCCTTGCTATTAGAATATATATGCTGAAGTGTCATGATGTTTTAAATTCTGACGTTTCAAACAGTTCAGAATAAAAAGAAGATGAATATAAAGAGTTTTTTTTTTTTTAACGTGGCTACTGGTTAACAGTTGTGAAGACTATATCGTTATTCTTTTTACTACTCTTACAACTTTTCCGTTGGTTTGAAAAATTTTTAAATGTTGAGAAAAGAACAGTAGGGCACAAAAATGCAGACATATAAATATGGTCCTAATTTCATTTAAAAATTATATATATATATGTATATATGCAAAGTTAAAAAAGGTAGAAAATTTGTTTATCTATAGGGGTAGAATTATTGTTGATTTTTGCTTTCTTCAAAATACATCACTCCATTCTCCAAAGTGACTGAAAATGAACATATATCCATCTTTTGATAATTTAAAACGCTAAATTATTTCATTTACAAGGAAAAATGATGATGAAGTAGGAGACAATTGATTCAAGCTCACCACCTTGATCAAGTTATAAACTCTGAGCTCTGTAAAATTAAGAAAAAAAAATGCTTATCTCTGAGGTTAGTGTAATAATAAACCAACGCACAACAGATGCTCAATAACTGCTTGCGCATTCAAGAGCAAATAGGCTGCTTCCTTTTTAAAAAATCTGACCTGCTCTACTATTTATAAAATTCAACTCTACAGACAAACGCCAGTAAAAGGCAGGAAACCATACACGCTAAAGTAAAAAATGGTCTCGCTCTGTCCAAACGAGAGTTGTCTTCCACCTTGAAATAAGGAACACCGCTTTGTGGATGCTTCTTTCTCACGCCTGCAGGGCGACTTTCCGCGTATTTGCTATTTTCATTGTAACAAATCCTGTAAATACAAATATCTCTTGTTTTTTAATCCATCCAAACCTGACACAGACTTGGGTATCCTAACAAAAACATCTTCGGTGAAGTTTTTCCCACCATCCCAAGAGGATGCTTCTGTACATACAGGTTTATTTACTTCAACACATGCTGGACATCTACAAACCCTATATACTGTCTGGTGCACAGCTGGCAGCAACAAAACAAGGAAGGAACGGAAATGTCGGAGGTGGGCGACTTCTCCTAGGTCACTCTCACCGGCTCTGTCACCCGGGCGGCCTTTCCATTCTTGAGTTGTTCTCGGCATCTCGGCAACCAAACAAGATTCAAAGTTGGAGAGGTGGGCAAACTGACTTTATACATCACTTACCCTGTGCAGGCAGGGACCTGCGGAGTTAGTAACGACCTGGACGCCTTCAGGGCGGCTGAGACTCGCCTGCAAATAAGTGCCAAACCGGCGGCAGCCATGTTTTCGCAGAACTAGGCACACCGCGTTTCCGCCGACGACTGCGTCACTTCCGGCGTCCCCAGCCTACCGTGAAGGGAATAGAAACACGCTCTTGCCCTCACTTAAGATGGTCACCTTCTGCCTTTGTCCTCATTGGTGAATTGGCTAGCTCAGCTTCCGTGACCCGCCCCTCTTCTTCCTCTTGCCCGTAGTAGCCATGGCGGCCATGAGTCTGTTGCAGCGGGCTTCCGTTACGGCGGTGGCAGCTCTGTCTGGCCGCCGCCTCGGCACTCGACTCGGATTTGGGGGCTTCCTCACTCGTGGCTTTCCGAAGGCTGTTGGTGGGTGCTGGCCTTGGGAGAACGGGCGCGAAGCGGGTGCGGGGCGAGAGATGGGAGGACGCTGCCAGGGTGACCTTGGTGGGATCCGGAGGGAGCAGGGACAAACGGTGGACGTGGGGCTTGAGACAGCGATGGAGCACGAGCTGTATGCGGGGTTTTCCTGAGTAGTCAGGTCGGTCGCGTTTACGTTATGAGCATTTATAAAACGTTGTTATTCGCCATCCCAACTGGTGCTAATTTGCGGATAAGCTGAGGCTAGAAAGGTAGAGAGCCGAAACCTGTATCTCTAGGGCACCAGCTTATTGTTGCGTTCCACCTGCCCAGCGGCTGGGCTCTAGTCCCACGGGTGCGAAATCATGTTGCGGAGAGGCCCACCTCATCAGCTCTTGGAAGCTGCGACCTTCAGAACCTGTAACGAAGGAAGCGAAGTTGTTTAAGGACCTGCTGTATGTGGTTTCGCTTAAAGTCACAGTTTCCAAGAACCTATCAGCGACATCGAGTATGACTTGTGAACAGTGTTTCTGTGAACATGGATGTACAATGTCTGTTCCGAGACGCTGCTTTCAATTCTTCTGGCTGTATCTGCAGAAGTGTAATTGCTGAGTCATACGTGTCATGGGTGTTACTGGCTGGGACTGGCTTCGTGAGTGGTAAAAATTTACCAAGACAGTCATAGGTAAAGAGGGGAGATTTGTTAGAGAAAATAGGAAGATAACGTTGCAAGAGTACAGCGGGCAGCACAGCAGAGAAGGGGCTATCTGCAGAGTGGGCGTGGGAGGGCTTTTATAGGGTCTTACCAAAAGGGCTGTGAGCAGAGAAGATGTGCAGGTAAGGTCACTCTGCTGGGCTGTGTGCTGAACCAGGTATTTGGGAACAGGATGTTGTGCCAGTGGGTTGTCTGTGATTGGCTGTGTCTCAGAAGAATTGCTTTCCCCCACCCGGGGCCCCTTCTTGCTTAGGATTCCACAATGTGGTAATTCGATTTTTAAGTTTTTGAGACGCCCCCTTGCAATTTTCCTTAGCAGCAATACCATTTTACATTCCTTTGTGTACCAACAGTGCACAAAGATTCCAGTTCCTCCATGTTCTCAGTGGCACTTGTTATTTTCTGGTTTTTTGATAGTAGCCATTCTGATGGGTATGTGATGGTATCATTGTAGTTTTTATTTGCGTTTCCCTAATGATTAGTTTTGTTGAGCATCTTTTCATGTGCTTCTTGGTCATTTGTATATATATCTTTTTTTTTTTTTTAGATGGAGTCTCGCTCTGTTGACAGGCTGGAGTGCAGTGGCGCGATCTCAGCTCACTGCAACCTCCACCTTCCAGGTTCAAGTGATTCTCCTGCCTCAGCCTCCCGTGTAGCTGGGACTACAAGCGCATGCCACCATGCCCAGCTAATTTTTGTATTTTTGGTAGAGACAAGGTTTCTCCACGTTGGCCAGGATGGTCTCTATCTCTTGATCTCATGATCCACCCACTTCGGCCTCCCAAAGTGCTGGGATTACAGATGTGAGCCACTGCACCCGGCCTATATCTTCTTTAGAGAAATGTTTATTCAAAACCTTTGCCTATTATTTATTATTTTCTTATTTTTTAACTTAACTACAAGGTTAAAATGTACATTTTAACCAATGTTGCCGATGCTGAACTTGAACTCCTGGACTCAAGCAATCCTTCTGCTTGAGCCTCTCAAGTAGCTGGGACTACAGGTACATACCACTCTGCCAGGCTATTTGCCTATCTTATTTGTTTGTTTGCTTGTTTGTTTTCTCCAGGGTCTTGCCCTGTCACCCAGGCTGGAATGCAGTGGTGAAATCAGAGCTCACTGTAGCCTCAGGTGATCCTCCTGCCTCAGCCCCCTGGGTAGCTGGAATGACAGTTGCACACCACCACACCTGACTGATTTTTTAAATGTTTTGTAGAGATGAGATCTTGGTGTGTTGACCAGGCTAATTTCGAACTCCTGGGCTCAAGCAGTTCCTCATCTCAGGCTCCCAGAGTGCTGGGATTACAGGCATGAGCCACTGCACCCAGCCTATTTTTAAATTGGATTGTTTGTTTTTTTGTTGTTGTTGCATTTTATGAGTTCTCTGTGTTCTGATATCCCTTATCAGATACATGATTTGCATGTATTTTCTCCCATTCTGTGGGTTGCCTTTTTACTCTGCTGATAGTGTCCTTTCATGCACAAAATTTTTAAATTTTCATGAAGTCCAGTTTGTCTACTTTTTTGTCTGTGCCTTTGGAGTCCTGGCATTAGCCTTCTACAAGTTCCTATAGCCTCATCTTTCCTAGAAATCTACTGCTGTCATGCTTTTCATTACCCTCTGTAAACCTTTTCAGAAAATAAGCAGATAAAGCTATTTTACTTGATTAAATTCTTTATTAGACATCAAAGATCATGTAATTCCAGAGATGAGCTAAGTTCTCCCTTCAGCTTCAGGTAAATTTAATTTTTAATTGAAGACTGATATGCATAAATGATGGTTTTAAAAAATGTGGAATATTAATATGGATATATAAACAGAGTGCTGTGGAGTTAATCCAGACATAGAACAGTTGGCGTTTTAACTGAATTACGGGGATAGTTTTAACAGGTGGAACTGGCAGAAAAGTAAAGGTTGAGTTTTTTGATTGGATATATGACTCTTGGGGTAGGTAGGTGTTGGGAGAAAAGACAAATAAAGGAAATTGGGACCAAATTGAGGGAGGGAAGGACTGACCACAAAGCCAGAGTATCTTGTGTTGCAGAAGAGCAGTATCAGGAGTGTGTTTTAGGAAGACACTTCTGAATATTAGATGGCTTATGGGGGATATTGATTACTTAGGCCAGTAAGGTAAAGAGGGCATGGAGTGAAATGGAGAGTTTAAATCCTAGAATCCAGAGGACTTGGCAAATGAGGGATAGATGCAAGGAAGATAACAGATTTTTATCCAAGGTAATTGAGAGGGTGGTGCCCTTTACTGGGAATGAGGGAAAGAAAATGACCGATTTTCACTTGTCTCTTTTTTTTGAGACTGAATCTCACTCTGTTGCCCAGGCTGGAGTGTAGTGGCATGATCTTGGTTCACTGCAACCTCTGCTTCCCAGGTTCAAGCAGTTCTCCTGCCTCAGCCTCCTGAGTAGCTGGGATTACAGGCCCGGCTAATTTTTTGTGTTTTTAGTAGAGATGGTGTTTCACCATCTTGGCCATGCTGATCTCGAACTCCTGACCTCAGGTGATCCGCCTGCCTTGGCCTCCCAAAGTGCTGGGATTACAGGTGTGAGTTATTGCACCCGGCCCAGTTGTTGTCTTTGACACACAAAAAGTTCCTACATTATCTTATTCAATTTTATAAAAATCAGAATCGGCAAAGACTTAATCACTTTTCTGAAACCATTTGCGTTTTTAAAAATTAGTTATTGAAGGCTTAGGCCTATGAAATTAATGAATACTTAATTGAGAAATTTCAGGCTTTAGAGAGCAGTGGAAGATGCCTATTTTTGGTGCTAGGAAGATCAGTGTTCCAGAAATCCTGGTAGTCACCTCATTGTAAGCAATGTTCAGCCTAATATTTTAATTTAATTTTTTTGAGGGGGAATGGTCTAGCTGTGTTGCCCAGGCTGGCCTCAAACTCCTGGGCTCAAGCCATCCTCCCACCTCAGCTTCCTGAATAGCTGGGATTACAAGCACACACCGACATTCCTGGTTACACAAACAAGCACACACCGACATTCCTGGTTACACACTAATATTTTTAGATTTCAGCAGATGGTCTTACTACATCAAAAACAAATCATGAAGGCTCAAACATATAAAAAGAGTTAAGTGCAAGCTGATTGTGGTGGTGGGTGACGTAATCCCAGCTATTCCGCCAGCCGAGGTGGGAGGGTCTCCAGCCCAGGAGTTCGAGGCCAGTTTGAGTAACATAGCAAAAAACCTTGTCTCTTAAAATAATAAAAAGAGTTACATGCTATGAAATATACTTTGAAACAGTTAATAAGTTATCTAGGATGTTTAATGACATGACTAATTGTTCAACAATTGGGTGATTGTGTGTAAAGAAAGAGCAAGCAGTTTACATGACTATGTGCGTTAATATTGCCAGAGTACACTAGACCAAGCTTTTTGTTTGTTATATTTTCCATGTCAGTTTGTAATTAGTATTTCCTAAAACCACATATAGTTGAATCTCTCTCGTGGTTGTGAGTGTGTGTGTCTGATTGAAAGGGAGAGTTAGGGAGTACACTGTCTCTTCTGAGTAAATGTAGAAGGCAAGATCTCCTGTCAACACTTAATTTACTGAAGAAATGTGGATTCAACAATATTTATGGAGCATCTCCCATGTGAGTGACACTAAAGGGTACTGAGAATACCTGAATAAGACAGTCCCTGACCTGATGGCATTTAACAAAATAATTAGGGTTCGTGCTCCTTGCTCCAAAGAAAATAGTCAAATGCCATTAAGGGGAATAGTGGGAGGCCAGCTTTGGATGAGGTGATCGGAGAAGACCTTTCCCAGGAGGTGACATTTGATCTTCACCCTGAAGGGTGAGATGTGGAAGCAGCCTTCCTAAGAACCTAGAGAAAAGCATTTCAGGCCGAGGGGAAACTAAGCAAAAAAGCCCCTCTAAGGTGGGAAAGAGTTCTTGCAATTGGAAGGAAACCACTGAGAGAGATGAGTCGAAGCGTGTGCCATTTTATTCGGAGAAAGGTCATATATTCTGATTCTTTGAGGGGAAGAACCTTAAAATCCTCTAGGCTAACCCCTTGTTTTATGCTAGTCCTTATTTCATCCCATTACTGATGCTTGAATAACTCTTTAATGGAGAATCGATGGTGGGGGAGTCCAATTTTATTTTCAGCCACTGAAATTGTTAGAAACTTCTTGTATCCGTTGGGACAAAAGTAATCTCGAGTTTTGCCGTTACTTTCAGTTGCAAAAACTGCAATTACTTTTCCACCAACCTAAATTAAGCTGCAAATATATTGTCCCTTGAAAAGAGTATGCTCTTGAATCGACACGTTCTGCAGGTGTAGTCAGGGGATAAGGGACAGGGAAGATCATCCTGTTTTGACCCTGTACTTTGAGGATATCAGATTAAGACTGAATTGGTCTTCGGCTTTTTTTTGTGAGCAACTAGATTCCTGGGCGTTCCAGGCAGGCTTTCCACTTACCTTATTAAATTGAATCCTTTTAGATTCAGTCTTTTGTAATGTGTTAAAGCCTCTCTGAGGATCCCATTTCATCATTCAATGTCTCAACCACTCTTGTAGCAGTAGCTTTGCGCGTCTGAGACTTAACAAGTCAGGAATGCTGTATCCACCTCATCTAGGCCTTTCATGAAAACCTTGATGCCACAGGCTTTTGAGAGCTTCCTTTGGCAGGTTACGGCATTAATTAATTGGTACCTTTTGGTTACAGTCAGTCAGTCAAGTACCCATTACAAATTTCTCCAACTTGCTGCTTCTCTCAGCTTAAAATGTCCCTTCCTCCCACTCCCACCGTCTTGCCTAAATTGGAATTTTCTTCTGGGCCACCGTATCCCGTTTCTTTCCCTTGTTGCCCTTATAGATTTGTAATTATTTGTGTGATGTGTATTTCTTCCAGCAGGATCTATATGCCTTTTAGACTGTATATAGGTCTAGCGTGGGGTCTGCACATAGCATGCACTGAAGTATGTATTGAATTAATGAGTACTTTGTACTGTCATCCAACCCATTTTCATCTAGTCCAAAAAAATATTCTGTTATATATCTTTCAGACGATTTGCTGAAGTCCATACTTACTTTGTCAAATTCTCATTTTGTTATTTAAAAAGCCTTAGTAGTATAAATTATGTGTGATAAATTTATGCCAGTTTCTAATTCTCTTGTGAATCAACCTCCTAAACTCACTGCAAGCTGCTGCAGATGTTACCAAAATTAAGAAGATAGTTCCTGCTTTCGAGATATTTATACTTAAAAGTGGCAGCAGTGAATGCAAATATACATTTCACAATAACGTAAAGTAATGCAAAAGTAGGAAAGGTCGTGGATGGCTGGGAAGAATGTTGGCTTCTTGGAAGATAAGATGTTATCTGGGCCTAACAGATTTCAGGAGGGGGACGGCATTCCAGACGTGAAGCATGAACAGAAGATTCAGATCATTCTGACATCTGTTATGCCTGAAATTCCTTTAATGGGAAATTAAAGTTTTTTATTCCACAGTGACTCATATAAAAAATATCCTTGAGAGTATATTTTGTAGACATAGTGAAAACATAGGAAACTTCAGTTTCTTGGTAATAGATAGATCCTTTCCTGCTCCCAGTGGAAAGGCCTCGGAATGCCGTAGTGATCCTTCTAGAACTTCAAGAAGAAGAAGAATGTAAACAGAGGATCCAGAAGTGAAATTTGGCCTCAGTTCATTTCCAGCAAGGCTTGATTAAATTCTGTCAGGGAGGAGACTTGAAGAGGATATTCTTTTTTTTTTTTTTTTTTTTTTGAGACGG